AAAGCAGAACAGAGGAACAAAACAACAACGGTGACCTGGTTGCCGAGCTCACGAAGTGAATTGGCTTGTGATACGACGTCGTTGCCAAGCGACGAAAACCCAACCCCGATGGCAAACGCCGGGGGGGATTGCGGGGGATATGAATAATCTCATGCCAGCAGCAGCAGTAGCAGAGATGGAAAAAACGATGGCCCGCTAAACAAGCTCCTGCATGTTTTCCTACAAAGCGGCAAGCTTCGACGCGCAAAGAGCGAGAAACAGGTCCGCGCCCATCGAAACAAGGAGGGCGCGTTCCTTCCACGCCTCAAAGTACTGCTGTCTCGTATTGCAGATACTTGTCTTTCGATGTACTTTGAACTTCTGTCAAATCGCCAAATCAACATGAAAAACTAGCAGTCAAGGCCACTCGCCGACTCATCGTGTGGGATAGATGACGACATGCGGGTGGGCGGAGCACAAACCCTGCGATACTCGCCAGTGTCGTTAGGAGAGGAGCCACTGTAATCAGCTATCATGTCCCTTGCGCCAAGGCAACTGAGAGGAGTGAGCAATATGCAACGCTACAAATACTCGCATTGATTGGTTTGCTCTTCACAAGATGAACAAAAAACACCCTATCAGGAAAAATCTGTAGGGTCGGCCTCGTCAGCTCGACCGAGAGTGGAGGCAGCTCGTTGCTGTTGGGTACCCACTGCTGTGGGTAGCCTGCAACCTGATGTAGCATTTCGTCGTCTGACTTCCCCAGCAGTAGAAAAAGAAGCATCTCGTGGTCAAAGCTGGCCTCACCTTCCGCAACCCCGGCGGGCTGCCCGTTGCTCGCAAACTCTTGCCGGGTCCCACCCGGTCGTTCGTCTGACACAAGCCCTCCATCCACCCCGCCAGTTGCTGCCCTCCCGCCTCCGCCACCTCCTCCAGTGTCCATGGGCCACTTGCCTAGGCGATACTTTCCTCACAAGCTGTTGGCCACACCCACACACTCATTCAACGTGAGGCCGAACAAGGTCTCACGCCTACGCAGTAGATCTATAACGCCTCCACTGCTTTGACTTCTCTTGGTTTCTCTCACTCGACTGCCCATGTGTGTGTGTTGTGTCTGCAGCCTTCGCGAGCGGAGACTTCGCGAACGAATGTACACAGAACGGGGGTATGTGATGTTTCATAATACTGTACTTTGCGTGCCCCCTACAATGAGGGTGCAAGGTGCAAGGTGGTAAGGGTCAGCAAGACGCGCGACCGCGTTGTTCAAGCACAAGATAAGCGCTTCTCTCAGTTGTATTGCAGCGGCCGCAACACACAGGACGATATCGATCTATAGTCAGAAGTAATAATGATAGGCTGCATGTGGAGTGGGAAGAAGACAAGACCAGGAGAGGCTCTTTCGCTCGAAATATCTGACAGACAGCAGTTGCGTTACGGTTACATTGCTACGGCGGTTGATAGGAGTTGCACCTTTGGGAGAGTGCGTTATTCACAACAGGTACTAGCAGTAAGGTCCGGTTTGCCGGGCCCCGTCTAGAGGCTAGGTTGCTCAGCCCCCTTACTTTACTACCTCTCTTCTCCATGCTTGCCCTGAGTTAGCAATAATCAACAAGCGAATACCGTATCCACGACCGGAGACCTTGTACTCCTTCTCACAAGCCACCCTCGAANCTAGCAGTAAGGTCCGGTTTGCCGGGCCCCGTCTAGAGGCTAGGTTGCTCAGCCCCCTTACTTTACTACCTCTCTTCTCCATGCTTGCCCTGAGTTAGCAATAATCAACAAGCGAATACCGTATCCACGACCGGAGACCTTGTACTCCTTCTCACAAGCCACCCTCGAAGCTCATACTACCGCTGTTCCGGCTCATCTACCGAACTCGGTACCGATCGAGAGGCTGCTAACATCAGGTCGGTAGCAGCGCTTGTAGGCTGGGATCCCATGTACATTCCTCTCTGGACAATTCCTCTCGACACCCAGGGTCCTGCCACTTGAATGGCTAGAGACCACACAGACCCACATAGACATAGGACCCTATCCCTAGCCTCTCCTTCCGTTACAGTTGCTCAACAACAAGTTATTATTGATGGTCTGCGTGTGCAATAATGGCGCGGCGCACGAAAATGAGATACAAGTCGCTCCTCACACTGGCCTAATTCAGGAAAGTTTCAGCGCAGTTTCAAGGAGTGATGCCGTGAGCGGTGGCTTGCTCCTACAGATAAGATGAAGGTTCTGTCGTTGACACGCTTGTCCACGACCACGTTGATATGGGAAAGTTGCTTGTTATATTGGTGATGTAGCGGCAGTGTGTATCGGTTGAACTGCTGCTGTAGATCATCTGATTGGATGGTTTGAATATCAGAACTGTCTGTCTGTGTAGTTCCAGAGAAAGTTCCTTGTGGAAGTTATACTGTTCGGAGTTGGATCAGCAGATAGTCAGTAGGGTGCACGTTAGGTGCACGTTAGGTGCACGTTGTGTGGACGTTGCATGGATGTGGCACGTGGGATGATTACCCTCAACAGGAATTGTTCTAGTTCGGTTGTAGGGATCGGAACATTACGTTGTTGGAACGTTGCGAGTAGTATATTGTTCCGATAGTGTTTGTGTTGGCGTGTTGATCGTTGGCTGGTAGGCCTGATCAACCTGTCTCATCATGGCTGAACCGGGGACACCTGCGGGTGGCCAAAGTCAGGGTAATCCGCAGGATGTTGGTGAGAGGATGGGTTCCCTAGAGACGCAGTTGTCCCAACTTACGACTCTAGTCACGTCGCTTGTTGATCAACAGAAGGAGCAAGTGGAGTCCTCTGTGTCGGCTGCCGCGCCGGGAGGCGGCGGAACAGAGTATGCTGGTGGTACGCATTCTTCCGATGATGCTACCGGCAGGACCGCGGGAGGCACGGGCGGCGATGCCCAAGGCCTTGGCGTGTCCAGCATGGGGGTTGGGAGTAGTAGCCTTGTTGGCTCAGGCTTGAACCCTGATGTATTCGCTGTTAATCGTTCCTCTGCTGGTGCTGCAAGCTTTGGTTCGATTGGAATTGGAAGTGGGGCTGCTGTAGGCCAGTCTTCTTTCGTTTCCGGGACTGTAGGTGGGGCTTTTCGTAGCCAGTCCTCTGTTCCTCCCGCACCTACTCCGTCGAGCAGGTGGTGGGAAAGTGTCGCCAGTGGAAACACACTGATTCCTGGGGCTGGCACTGATGCAGGAGAGAAATTGGGTGGGGGTCCTTTTAAAGTTCCCAAGGCTCCTGTTTTTGACGGGACAGATATGTCGTACCCCTCATGGTCGCAGAACTTTCTGCTGAGTGCCCGGCACCACAATCTGATTGAAGCGTTTGTTTCTGAGACTGAAATCCCGATTGCTGACATTAGTTTTGATTTGACCCCCTGGGTCGAGAAAGGCTTGAACCTGGCGAAGACGTCGGCCTCGCGGCCCCTGAACTCGGCGCAGACGCGGGACGAGTACCGGCGGAGGTCCTCGGAGATCCTGAAGAGTTCCCGGAAAAACAGGCCAACTCGGTCGGCCCGGGCCGCAGAGGCGCCCGACATGCCGTCCTTGGTAAAAACTTCCAGGACGCGAATGAAGGTGTCGACATGCACGTCGAACGTGCGTGTCACCGCCGCTACCCCCGGGGGGCGCGGCGGCGAGAACGCCGCGATGTCGATGGCGCTGAAGGTAAGCAGCGCGTGCAGGCCCGGGTGCGGGTGGGCCACGTCCCGGATGATGTGGTCGAACTCGCCCCCCGTCATGACGATAGGCGAGAAGGTAGCGCCTCGCATTAGGTACAGGGCCGCTTGGCCGTCCTTTTCCCACGTGCGGCCCTCCAGCTTTTGGGCTTCTTTCAGCCGATGGGCATTGTATACAGGCGCGGCCCCCGGGATGCTCGCGAGCTGTTGGTATCCCTGGGGCGTGGCCGACTGGTGGTAGTGCTGGCTGGGGTAGGCCTGGAGTTGTTGGTGTTAATACTGTTGTTGCAGCGGTTGCGGCTGCTACTGCTGGTGAGGTTGTTCCTGCTGCTGCTGCTGCTGCTGCGGCGGCGGCGGCGGCGGCTGCTGCTGCTGCGGCTGCTGCTGCTGCGGCGGCTGCTGCTGCGGCGGCTGCTGCTGCTGCTGCTGCTACGCTGATGTTGGTGCGGCTGCTGCTACTGCTGCTGCTGCTGTGGCGGCGCTTGGACCAGGGGGCGGACTACTGACTGGCTATTGTGGGGGGCGGAGCCGCCCTCGGCCGCGGCGCCCTGCGCGGGCTGCCGGTTGCTGGTCAAGTTTACCTCCACCTCCTGGAGAGACCGGATCTGTTGTTGCCCGCGATTGCCCTGATTCACGAGCTGTTGAAGCAGCGAGAAGAGGTTCGGATTGCTCCCGACTCCCTGTTGCTGCTGCTGCTGCTGGGGCTGTTGCTGCTGCCCTTGCTGCTGCTGCTGCTGCTGCTGTTGCATCAGCTGAGGTTGAGGGGCTCCGTGAATCATGGGCGGCGGCGGCGGAATTGCTACCGCCGGACCGCCGGCATTTGGTTGCTGCGGTTGGCCATGCTGGTGTCCCTGCTGCTGCTGCTGCTGCTGCTGCTGTTGCACCTGACCCTGCTGCTGCTGCTGCTGCTGCTGCTGCGGCTGCGGCTGCGGCTGCGGCTGCTGCTGTTGTTGTTGCTGCTGCTGCTGCCTGTTGTGGTCGTCCCCGCCACCGGCAGCCGAGTTTGGAGGACTGTCGCCCCCCGAGTTGCCCTGTATGGCCGCCGCGGCGCCCGCCGCGGCGCTCGCGCTCGCCGGTTGTCCATCATTGCCGTCCATCCCAAAATCGATCAAATCCTAGGCGGCACTCCGTGTTTGGTGCTCCTCAAAGCTGCTATCTCTGCTACTCCTCTCCTTCTCTCAAATGCACTTGCTTGTCTCTCGCCCAGCGAGAGTACAAAAACTTTCTGACACCAGGGCTGTCTCTAAATATCTTCGATCCCCGCTTTTCCGAATTCCAACACGCCTCCACAAACCACAGATTCCAATACGTACTGAATCTTCTCGCTTTGATGAATATCCGCTGCTCCCGCCTAGCCTGCTCTACACCCCCTCGACCAACGACTTTGTGACACTCGCCTGAGATGTCACCGACCACCAGCGCTTCTTCTGCCACGTCCAGTGC